TGTCCCAATGTGTGTCCCCAAGCCGAGACTCGAACCCAGCCCGATCCCGCCCTATGTCCTCTGCTTCCCCCACTCCTGGCCTCAGGGAACCTGGGCGAGGGGCAGAGAAGACTGGACGGAGCTTCTGAGAAGTGCTCTTTACAGGCCCGACCCACACTGCTGAGGGCAGAGGCCGGGGGCCCTGGGGAGGGGCCCCGGGGAACCCAGTGAAGGAATGGAAGGGCAGGCCTGAAGGGGGTGCTGAGGAGCGACAGCCCATTCCCACAGCAGTTAGGGGAGCAAATAGCCCCCCAGCAGGGCCTCGGCCTCAGCCACTTATGCCAAGGCTGCCCAGACAGGTGTGAGGAGCAGGCCAGAGCCCCACGCGGGCACCAAGACTCCTTCTGCCGCATGATTTATCTCTGAGCTTCATCTGGCAAACCTGCTGATGAAATGAGTCTCCTTTTCTCTCCGCCTCATCAATTTTCATTTTGATTTCGTTTTCCTTTTCCGTTAGAAGAGGTTTGGCCTTTCTCCTTGTTTGACTGGTCTGCTCCCTATTCACTCTGCTTCCTTTTCTTCGGGTTCCAAGCTCCTCCCCCCTGACCTCCTCACCCCCCTGTGCCCTGGGGTCCCTCCCTCTGCACCCCGATACTATGGAGAGAGGAACTCCCTCATCTAGCTCCCCATTCACCTTGGACAATGCTGATGCTCTCTGTTCTTTCCGGGGCCATGGAGCCTCAGAGCTGGGACAGTTCACAGTCTGAGACAGGAGGCCAATATCTTATCAGGTTGGGGTTCTCAGGGGATGGGAGAAGGAGCAAGGTATTGATTAATTTGTAGGAGAGGCCACAGTCAGGGATAACTTCAAGGGTGGGAAGGAAGTCCCAATATGCACAAGTGAGGCATTCTGGGCAAGGCCCCTGCTTGGGCAAAGGCTCCAGGGGCAGGAGAGCTTATGGCTTGAATCTCTCCAAAATTTTCTCTCACTTCCTGCTGCCCTTGCACCTAGCTCCCAGGGGTCTGCTGCATTTGGAGAGATGTCCTGGGGCCCTGGCTGTGGAGGGTGGTGGAGGGGGAGAGAGCCCTTCCAGAATAATGCAGGATCTGCCCAGCACTCCCACTTGATTGTAGGAGGGTCACGAGGAGCTACAGGGAGGGAGGCTGGAGCAGCTCATGGGTCAGCAGCCAGGCTTGGCCGCCCCTCTGACTTATGAGAATCCAGCAGTGTGGAATGATTATGGGCTGCCATCAGGCTGGGACATCTAGAACTCTGCTGCTAGGAGGTGCCCTCTCCCAGCATCCAGGGAGCATCTGGGGGAAATAGATGCATGGCTCACCTAAGCCAGGAGGAGCCACGCGGTTTATTGGGTGAGACTTGTGTCAGACCTCAGGGACCTATCAATGAACTGAGTCCCAGAGCAGTCCTGGAGACTAGAAACAGGACCCCAGTTGGAGGCCCCTGGGAGGGCAGCTAGCTGCACAGGGAAGGAGTAGCAACCTAGGGTGCCTAGGAGAGGGTGCCTGCCTTAGAGGCCACGGGGCCAGCCTGGTGCTGCTTGGGCGCAAAGATGGTCTAGAAGCCAGAGACTGGCCTTCATACACACAGAGGTGGGTAGAACAGGAAGGGGGCTCCACTGAGCACCAGGCACTTTACAGACATCAGACATCGTCCTTCTCAGGCTCCCTATGAGGTAAGCTCTCTCCCCATGCCCAGAGCAAGAACTCCAGTGAGGATGCTCAAGGTCACACAGCCAGCACCAGGATTCAAGTGCAGAGCTGCCTGGAAAACCCACCCCTGAATCACCAGGCTAAGCTCTCAGAGGGGTTGGTGGAGTCCACAGGATTTCCCAAGGGAGAGCCTAGAAGAGTTCTAGCAGGGTGAGGATCATCATAGGATTATGTGGAATCAAGAGGCAGAAGCCTGAGGCAGAGAAAAGGCTCAAGCCAGGGGCAGGGGAGCCAGGGTGCATACTAAGGAGTGCAGACCCCAGGAGCCGTGTGGTCTCCTTCCAGGTGGCAGGAAAGGAGGCAAAAGAGCCTGAGCACAGACCAGACCAGCCTGGTCTCCAGGACACCGACACAAGTAGCACCCCCTACACCTGCTCCTCCTCACCTGCCCTTCCTTGCCTTTCTGTCCCTCCTGCCCTCCGTCCTACTATTCTCCTGCAGATGCTGCCTGGGTTCCTACGAGGTGCCAGACTATGGAAGGAGCTGGCAAGTCCGGGCACAGCCCCTTCTCCCGAGGGGCTCAAAGTCCAGTGGGGGAGGCAGACCGACAAGGAACCAGCAGTTCATGGTGGAGGGCTGCTGGGGCACTGGGGGAGCCAGGAGAAGGGCCAAGGGTCAGGGAAGGTGTCCCGAGGGTGGACAGATGATCAGCAGCACTTGGCAGCCCCAGGTGGCGGCAGGTCCGGCCTACTCCCCGCTCCCTACAGCCTCCTGCCCTGCAGTGCAACCAGCAGCAACGGCCTGGCGTGCTGGCTCCTGGCACCCTCCGCTGCTAATTAAGAAAGAGAGAGGCAGCCTCCCTTCCAGACACCAGAACTCCAGCACCCTCTGACCTGGCCAGCCAGGAGACAGGGAATGGAGAGTAGTATTTCGTTTTTTTAAATGCAGATTGTGACTCACTTCAAATTGTTTTCATGCCCCCCTACGTGTGTTGAGATCCGCAGTTCATACAGTAGAATACCTCCGACCCCCACAGGGAAAGTGTGCCCGGCACTGGGCTCTGAGGACACACGAATCAGTAACAAAGCACCTTTTCCTCCATGAGCTCACAGCCTGGTTGGGAAGAGGGGGTGTCTGGGAACAAGAGGGCCACTGAGAGCTGAGCAGGAGGCACCAGAGGAGCCTATCATAGATGGGGTGCTAAGTGCAAGCAACTGTGGCAGGGGCGGGAGATGAGAAAGGGACAGGTCAAGGTGGCGGAGATGTTGGGTCTTGGAGACTGACTGTTGGACGGCAGAAGCAAGAGCAGGCTTGGTGGGAGATGTTGCATGTGGGGCAAGTGGAGTGTAAGAGCCTCTGACACAGCTGGGTGGAGAGGGCCGGGGACACTGAGCCGGGAGTCTGGGCCTCTGCTTCCTGGCCACCCCCATGTTTGTCCTCATGCCTGTGCCCTACACTCTATAACGAGAAGACCTAGGGGTTGGGCGGTGGAAAAGAGGCAACAGCACTGCCCCAGGAGGTGGCCAGGGCCCTACAGGGCCTTGGGGAAGGGAGGCTGGAGGAGAGACCAGTGGTGTGTGGGGCAGGACATCCTCCTGGCATCTTCTTGCCTCGGGCACATGGCACTCACAGGCCCAGCCGTGAGGACTCAACTGGAGCGGGCTGGGGTGGGGGGTGTTGTTCAGGTATAGAGCAATTTCCAGATTTGGAAGTTGTAGAACGAGAAAGGAGAATAAGAGGAACCAGCATCCCTGCCTGATTAAGTGTGAGACCCTGGCCCCATATCAGGCTCTGCACTGGATGTGGAGCCTGCCTGGGATTTTCTCTCTCCCCCTCCCTTTCCCTCTCCCTCTCCCTCTCCCTCTCCCTCTCCCTCTCCCTCTCCCCCTCCCCCTCCCTCTCCCTCTCCCTGTGTCCCTCCCACTACTCGCTCATACATGCTCACTCTCTTTCTCAATCTAAAAAAAATAGGAGGGGGGTGAGACCATGAGAAGTGTAGCCCACTTGGAAGCAGGAAGATGACATAAGAGAATTTCAAGTCTGAAGTTCTGGAGTTCCCTAAAGTCAGAGTCAACCATTTCCAAAGACCCCAGTCCCCAGTCGTGATGGAGAAGGAAGGGGAATTCTGGGCTGAAAGATGAAACTGACTGATGGTGATGGAAGCCAGGACAATGGTTACGTGCGGTGGCGGTGGGTGGCGGCCACCTGGGAGCTTACTGGAGTGCTGGAAGTCTTTACATCTTGTTCTGGTTGGTGGCTGCCCAGGTACCTACTGGTGGGAAAATTCATGGAGCTGTGCACCTGGGATGAGCGCCATGTATACACGCTCCTGTGCATGTGTTACACTCCAACATATATATGTATATTTAAAGATTTTATTTATTCATGAGAGACACAGAGAGAGAGAGAGGCAGAGACACAGGCAGAGGGAGAAGCAGGCTCCATGCAGGGAGCCCAGGATCACGCCCTGGGCTGCAGGCGGCGCTAAACCGCTGCGCCACCGGGGCTGCCCTATTTTTTTTTTAATTTATCACAAAAAGTGAGAGCTGAGAAGTAGGTGGTAAGAAGGGATGAGAGGCAGCTGGGGATGGGGTGGGCATGAAAGGGAAGGAGCAGCACTTCATACCCCTGACCTCCAGTGCGCCTCCCCAGGTTCTGGCAGGAGGGTGCTACCCCCGCTTCCCAGCTCAGGCATCTGAGGCTCAGAAGCTGCCTGCTTGGCCCAAGGTCACACAGCAAGTGGTGGAGCCGGGCTCAGACTCGGATGGCAAAGCCCAGGCTCCTTCCGCTCCACCGCTCCTCCTTTACATAAGTTATTTATGGAATTCAGACTCTGCAAGGCTAGATAAACGCTTGGCTCGCCTCCCTCTGAGGACCTGCTTGTCTGCGATTCCATGCGAGGTGGGAGCCAGGCGCCCGGCTCACCTCCCTGGAGAAGCAGGAGGCCAGGTGCGCAGAGGGAGGGCTGTCCCCCTCCCCCAGCAGCCCTCCCACCCAGCGCTTATCTGCTGGTGAGGAGGCCGGAGTTTATCAAGGCTACACTCAATTCTGCCGCCCATCTGTCTCTGCAGCTCAGGGGGCACCTGGCACTGACGCAGCGAAGGCCGGGCCATCGATCGCCACCACCGCTCCTCCCTCTGGACCCCTGGCTCTGACTCTGGGAGGCTGGGTGGGGGCTGCCCGGAAGGGGAGGGAAGGGAGGGGAGAGAGAGAGCGTCGGCATCCACCAACCACCTAGAGGAGTGGGACTGTCACCACCGGGCCCGGAGTGCCAGGGGCTGAGCCGGGGCGGGGCGGGGTGGGAGAAGGAGCAGCCTTTGACAACAGCTTCTCCCACACTCTTCGTTCAGCTCTTTGCGCAGGATCTGAGTGTAACGGACCATTCCACACTTTATGCCAGATCCAGAGCAGCTGCCTGGAGGAGGCGGGTCCCACGTAGCTTGCAGTGCCAGCTCTCGCCCTGGAAAGTTTGCCCCTGGAGTGGACAGCCCTGCTTCCCTGACCGCAGCCCCAGGGCTTTCAGTCTTCCATCACCCAAGGCCAAGGCTGGCCAGCAGCGCCCAGCCCCCAGTCAGAAGGCAGGCTGAGGTCTGTGTGCGGCATGCTGGCTCTGCTTGTCCCTGTGGTGCCAGGGCCAGCCACATCAGAGACGGTGCCTTCCCTGCGCTAGCCCGTAAGTGGGGGAGGGAGGGGTGTCACTCTAGCCCAAAATTAAGGAGTGGTATCCACAGGGCCCACCAAGTGGCCGTGGGGGAGGAGGTGGTGAGGACCCAGGTCAACTCTGAAGGAAGTTCCATCCGAGGCAAGCATTCCGGGCCAGCCCTGCGCTCTGCTCCTGTGAGACGGGCTGGGATCCTCCAGGCAGCAAGCCTTGGCTGGGCTGGTGGCTCAGGTTCTAGAATCCGAGACCTACGTTTGAACCCTGACCTGGCCACGTGGAAACTGTGCAACCTCTGACAAGTCGCATCATGCCTCAGTTGCTTCCCCTGCAGGACCGGACTAAAGAATCCCTTCTCTGCCTACACTCGGGGTTGATGGGAGGATCACCCGTTTCCCCCCTGGTGTCATGTACAAATACCCTCTGTGCGCTCAGCCCTGCACTGTTTGCGGGGGCACAAAATCATGTACGACATGGCCTCTGCCGCAAGGAGCTTGAAATCCAGTTGGGGAGAATGTCCACACTGTCATCTGAACTCCTGCTCACCCCAGAGATTATAGATAAAAGACAATTAGCTTTCTCTGCAGCTCCCGGCGGAAATTGCTAATCAGCTGGCGTGAGTGGGCATGAGTGGGCATGTGCAAGACGGCCAGAACCAGGGATGGCAGGTAGTGGGCAGCTCAGTGCTCCTCCCTGGAAGGGGCTGCGTGCTCAGCAGCAAGAGGGAGGACTTGTCTGGGACTTCGCCAAGCCTTGGGATCAGGGGTGCGACCAAATGTGAGTCATCAAGCCATTGCCTCTCTCTGGGCACTGAACCCCAGCCCTGGGCTCCTGGCTGAGGAGGAGGGTGCTGCCCAGGGTGGAGGGAAAGGTGTCTCAGAAGGCTTTCGGTTATGTTTTAAGTGGTTCCTTCCTCCCCTGCACACAGCTGAGCATCTGTAGGACAAAGGTGATGTTGGAGGAGAGATGCCTGTGGCTCAGTCAGTGGCTGAAGCCAGGAGAATGGATGCTCAGGCCCAGCCGAAGAGCCCCCTCCACCCCCTGCAGGCTTCTCTGCCCTTTGGAACTATCCTGGGCACTTCTGATCATTTTGCATTTATTTAGTCTTGCCACAGTGTGTCACTCTGCAAAGGTGTGATCTAGCTCTGCCCATTGCTCCCCGTGCCACCCTGAGGCAAGGCTGGGCCACAGTGGGCAAGCTCAGTAGGGACTTGTTGAGCCACAGGATCCAATTTCTGTTCCTCCTGAGACGTCGTGTAGCTGGCGAGTCTCCCAGCCCTGGGGGATGACCGGAGCTGGAAGAGAACTGACACTTACCGAGCTCTGTGTGTGTGTGCCACCCTCAGCTCCCGTCATCCTAATGACAACCTCATTTTTAGACAGAAGGAGCAGGTGCTCTGAGAAGTAAGATCACTTTGCTGGTGGCTTCTGCTCCCCCATGCCAGGTGCAGGCAGGAGGCGGGGGCCTCTGGTACGGATGTGGGGCAGGACGACTTGCCTAGGTCCAGCCCCGTGACAGGGCTGTCCCTGGTTCCTGCTGCCTCTCCACCCTCACAGTACACTACAGAGTCCCCTATCCTCTTCCCGCCTACCAGTGCCTGGCTCAGGTAGCCAAGTTCCCTGGGCTCCCCTCCATGCACGTCTGCAGGCATGCATGCATGTGCACACGTGTGTTTGTTTGCTCTGAGTTTTATGTGTCAGCACACACACACACACACACACACACACACACACACCCCACGCAAAACCTCTGTGCATTTTCAGCCACGATTGTTTTCCCACCTTCAGAAATAGCTGCAGAGGAAGGTGGGAAGTCGTCGAATGTAAATAGGCGTAGCGCTCTCCTGCTCACGAGAGGGTGCCCCGCCTCCAGCTGCTCCCCTCCCTGGCCCCAGCATCCTGGAAGCAGGGCAAGGTGGGCACAGAGCCCCTCTGGCCAGCAGAGAGACACCTGTCTAGAAGGTGGTAGCAGACGTTGCCCCAGGGGACAAGGACGGGCAGGCAGCCTGCCGCCGCCACAGCCCGGCCTAGGTGCAAAGGGGCTGGTGTCAACACACAACCCCTGGACTTGGATGGGTTCCCATCTTCTGCCGCTGACCACCTATGTGTCTTGCACCAAATTCTTTGACCTCATTTAAAGAGGCTCATTAAACCTCAATTTCTTCATCTGCAAACTGGGGGTATTAATGCTTATCCTGTTGACCCATTATGATGGTTACATAAAATAAGAGTCTTTGAAGGGTCCTGGCAAATTTCAGGTGCTCAGTAAGTGCCGGTTTGCTTCCCTGATACCTGCATTTGGAAGACTACCCGAATGGGACCTCTGGTCCCGAGGGGACTGGGCCCAGCAAGGCCTCCTGGCTCTTCCTCCATGTTGGTGGAAGGCCAAGGCTGGACTTGCCTCCAGGGTGATGCCACCTGGCCTTAGGATCTGTGGGAGAGCCTGGATTACCCATACTTAGGGGGTGGGAAAGAGCAGTGGCTTAGATTCTGGACTGGGGTAGGGGTGAGACATCCTGGGGGATGGGATCCTGGAGCTACAGCAGTTGATTCATACAGTAAATATTCACTGGGCACCTGCTGTATGCTCCAGCTGCAGTGATGACCAGGACAGTTTCCCACTGGGGAGCCATTTCCAGGAGATGTGACCCGGGATAGGAGCATGCGGCGCTGTAGGAACATAAGGTGGGCTCCTTGGCCAGCCAGGGGAGAAGCTTTGGGAGAAGCTTCTGTAAGAGGTGACCTTAAGTCGAGGCTCAAAGAAAAAGTCGGGCTTGTCTAGGAGACAGTGAGAAGGAGCTATGGGGAGGGGGTGGGCGTGTCAGGTACCTTCCACTGGAAAGTGTGGTGCCTGGTGGGTAAGCTGGAGAATAGCAAGAAAAGCCGAGTCGTGTACCTCACCTGCAGGGCTGAGGAGCTCACACCCGGGCGTCTTACACCCCCACCTCTTTCTGGGGAGCTCAGTCAGGCTGTTGGGAAGGGGAAAGCCCCATGAGAAGAGCCCAAGCAGACCCCAGGCAGGACCAGCCACTTCCCTGGCTGGTCTGGGTGTGGGCTCAGGGACCACAGCCTTCCTACCTGCAGAGTCCCGAGAGCCCACCCTGGAATCCAGAGTGTGTACCATTTCCACCAGCCCCGGTAATACCCCCACTGCTCAGAGGGATGCCTGGAAACTCGCACTTTATTTTCCATTTACCCAGGGAGCCAAGGAGGGAGGGGGGAGATGTGAGAAAGGTAGGAGAATCTGTTCCACACATCTCGGCTCAGAAGGACCGTGGAGATGACAGGACTCCAGCATGCCCTCTTCTCCGCAGGCAGGCACGCACGCTCGCACACCCCTCCCTTCCTGAGTTATCCTGGAAGCTTCCTGGTTCGGTCTCTCCCTCCTTCCCCAAAGACTCACAGTTTCTCACTCCCCCAAAAGACGGTAGAAAAGGACGCTAAGGCCCCAAGGCTGGAGGACAGAACCCGGGAGCCCTGGCTGTGGCCCGGTCCACCTCTCTCAGCCCCTTTGCCCTCTGAAGGCAAACAGGGGTGACACGGGCAGAGGGAGTAGTTTCTCATTCTCTGCCACCTCCTGACTCTGCATCCTCTTCTTCCAGGGCTGCCCTGATGGGGCGTGGCAATGAATGAGCTGGCCCAGCCCCAGCGGACAAGGATGGAAAGCCATGCCCAGGAGGGTAAGAAGCGGTGCCCACCCATCCCCACGTAGAATGACTGTCCTGGGAGGGTGGTTCCCCAGGCCCTGGCAGGGCTGCTGACCCTCAGCCTGTGAACTGCTAAGAGTGGAAGGACTCCAGACTCCTCCTGCGGCTCCATCATGAGGCTCCTCGTGGCCCCCCTCTTGCTAGCTTGGGTGGCCGGTGCCACCGCCGCCGTGCCCGTGGTCCCCTGGCGAGTGCCCTGCCCTCCTCAGTGTGCCTGCCAGATCCGGCCCTGGTATACGCCCCGATCGTCCTACCGTGAGGCCACCACCGTGGACTGCAACGATCTGTTCCTGACGGCCGTGCCCCCCGGGCTGCCCGCGGGCACACAGACTTTGCTGCTGCAGAGCAACAGCATCATGCGTGTGGACCAGAGTGAGCTCAACTACCTGGCCAACCTCACGGAGCTGGACCTGTCCCAGAACAGCTTTTCGGACGCTCGAGACTGTGATTTCCGTGCCCTGCCCCAGCTGCTGAGCCTGCACCTGGAGGAGAACCAGCTGACCCGGCTGGAGGACCACAGCTTCGCGGGGCTGGCCAGCCTGCAGGAGCTCTATCTCAACCACAACCAGCTCTACCGCATCGCCCCCCGGGCCTTCGCCGGCCTGGGCAACCTGCTGCGGCTGCACCTCAACTCCAACCTGCTGAGGGCCGTTGACAGCCGCTGGTTTGAGATGCTGCCCAACCTCGAGATCCTCATGATCGGGGGCAACAAGGTGGACGCCATCCTGGACATGAACTTCCGGCCCCTGGCCAACTTGCGTAGCCTGGTGCTAGCAGGCATGAACCTTCGGGAGATCTCCGACTATGCCCTGGAGGGCTTGCAAAGCCTGGAGAGCCTCTCCTTCTACGACAACCAGCTGGCCCGGGTGCCCCGGCGGGCCCTGGAGCAGGTGCCCGGGCTCAAGTTCCTCGACCTGAACAAGAACCCGCTCCAGCGGGTGGGGCCCGGGGACTTTGCCAACATGCTGCACCTCAAGGAGCTGGGGCTGAACAACATGGAGGAGCTGGTTTCCATCGACAAGTTCGCCCTGGTCAACCTCCCCGAGCTGACCAAACTGGACATCACCAACAACCCCCGGCTGTCCTTCATCCACCCCCGCGCCTTCCACCACCTGCCGCAGATGGAGACCCTCATGCTCAACAACAATGCTCTCAGTGCCTTGCACCAGCAGACGGTGGAGTCCCTGCCCAACCTGCAGGAGGTGGGTCTCCATGGCAACCCGATCCGCTGTGATTGTGTCATCCGCTGGGCCAATGCCACGGGCACCCGCGTTCGCTTCATTGAGCCGCAGTCCACCCTGTGCGCCGAGCCGCCGGACCTCCAGCGCCGCCCCGTCCGTGAGGTGCCCTTCCGGGAGATGACGGACCACTGCCTGCCCCTCATCTCCCCCCGCAGCTTCCCCCCCAGCCTGCAGGTGGCCAGCGGAGACAGCCTGGCGCTCCACTGCCGGGCACTGGCCGAACCAGAACCCGAGATCTACTGGGTCACCCCGGCCGGGGTGCGGCTCACAGCTGCCCGAGCGGGCAGGAAGTACCGGGTGTACCCCGAGGGGACCCTAGAGCTGCGGAGGGTGACGGCAGAAGAGGCCGGGCTGTACACCTGTGTGGCTCAGAACCTGGTGGGGGCTGACAGTAAGACGGTTAGTGTGGCTGTGGGCCAGGCTCCCCTGCAGCCCGGCCGGGACAAGGGATGGGGGCTGGAGCTCCGGGTACAGGAGACCCACCCTTATCACATCCTACTGTCTTGGGTCCCCCCCCCCAACACAGTCTCTACCAACCTCACCTGGTCCAGCGCCTCCTCCCTCCGGGGCCAGGGGGCCCCTGCTCTGGCCCGCCTGCCGAGGGGCACCCACAGCTACAACATCACCCGCCTCCTTCAGGCCACAGAGTACTGGGCCTGCCTGCAAGTGGCCTTTGCTGATGCCCACACCCAGTTGGCATGTGTATGGACCAGGACTAAAGAGGCCACTCCTTGCCACAGAGCCTTAGGGGACCGACCTGGGCTCTTAGCCATCCTGGCTCTTGCTGTCCTCCTGTTGGCAGCCGGACTAGCAGCCCACCTTGGCACTGGTCAGCCCAGGCAGGGAGTGGGTGGGCGGGCTCTCCTTCCAGCCTGGGCTTTCTGGGGCTGGAGCACCCCCTCCGTCCGCGTGGTGTCTGCGCCCCTTGTCCTGCCCTGGAACCCAGGAAGGAAGCTGTCCAGGTCTTCAGAAGGGGAAATGCTGTCACCACCATTGCTGCAAAATTCCTGAAGCTCAGCCGCTCGCAGCAGTAGAGGAATAACTAGGACTACTTTTTACCCAAAGGGAAGCGATCTGGGCCAGATGCCCTGCCAGGAAAGTGACGTGGACCGCATGCTTGAGGCCTGGCAGCTGGACCAAGACAGATGGGGTTCTCAGCTCCAGGGGCTGCTCCTGTGGGCTCCAAAGAGCTGCCCTTCCCCTGTGGGGCCTGTCTGCTGACATTCTGCAGGGCATCTCCAAGGAACAGGAAGGACTCTGGCCAGAGCCTCCCATCTCCTTCGTTGTCCGTGTGCCCAGAGGCCCAGGGGCCTCTGCTTGGATGTCCCTTGCCTGTGTCCCACAGGATGCGCCCCCTGCTCTTTGTATAGTCTTAATTGCTTGCTCTTTCCCCTCCTGGGCAAGGGCTGAGGGAGGCCTCCCCTCCCCACGTTGGGGGACCACTCCCACAGTGGGTTCCCGACCGCATCCGAAGGACGTCTGGGGAGAGAAGGGATGCCCAGGGACACCTCGTCTTGGCAAGCCTGGGTTGGCGCTCTGAGGTGGACTTTCTAGAGGCAATTTTGTACCTTTGTGGAGAAATGTGTCGCCTCCCCCCAACCCAGTTCACTCTTTTCTCCTGTTTTGTAAAAAATAAAAATAAACAAGAATAACAATAGTAAGGGGGGAAAGGAAACAAAAGGAAAATAATCTTTGAATACCAAGTGTGACTGTGAAGCTCTCTCCTCTGGAATCTCTTCCAGCCCAGGGGGTGGCGGGGGAGGGGCCGGGAGGGGAGGGGGAGGGGGTGACAGAGGGCACAGGTGCTCCCTGTAGGTCTGAATCCAGGCCTGCTCCCCAGAGTCCCCCTGTAACTGTGCCCTGAGAGTGGGGGCGGGGGTGGGGGGTGTGCAGAAGGGCAGAGAGCAGGAGAGGCTGATGGGGGAGGGTGGGAGAAGAGAACAGAGAAAAAGCTCAGAGAGATGGAGAGGGTGGAAATTTCCATCACCAAACATTGTCACCCCTTCTCCTTCCGTGATAAGCAATTAACATGCCACTGCCTAGGAAGCACTTCCCGGTATATTTCTAATTAAACAAACCCAAGAGGCAGAGTCATGCAGAGAACTGCAAATCATCAAGATAGCAAGAACTTTGGCTCACTGGGGCAGAAGGGGGTGTGGGGTGGTAGAGGATTTGGGGAGGGGAGAACTGTGGGAGAAAGAAATTGCTACGTGGAACTTTCCATCCGGTTCGGTATCATTTGCAATGAGCCTGGTTTGCTTTTGCAGTATTTTTTTTTTTTTTAAGACAGATTGACTTCTTCAGGCCAAATGTGAAGAGGGGGCATCTGTCAGAAAGGCAGGAGAGCCCAGGGGACGGGGCTGCTGTGGCCGGTCAGGGGAGCAGCAGCTCCAGAGCAGAGGCCACTGGCCGACAGCTCCTGTTTCTGGAAGGGGGCTGGGCAAGCCGTGGGTCCCCTGAGACCGCAGAAGCAGCCCCTGAAGCCGAGCACCCCTGTGCTGCAGACACAGATGGCAGGCTTGCTGCGAGTTGTCTCCAAGCCACCGCGGAGGCTGCAGGTGTACGCGCAGGTGGAAGCCAGACCAGGAGCAGGAGCGCCAGGCCCCAAGGAACCTGGAAAGAGAACAGCCGAGGGCAGTGGTCCTGTCTGCGGCCCCTCGGTGACAGCCAGTTGAGGGCCCCTCTTTCTGTCAGGCAGGGGGTGTCCCGCACCGCCCGCATCAGAACCACCTGAGGACTTGCTGACCACCGGGGGCTGGGCCCCCTGCAGCTCCTGCTCTGGATCTGGGAGGACCTGGAGATTGGGGGTTTTGGTAAGGTTCAGGTGACGACGCTGTTGCTGCTGGTCAAGGGGACCCCGGCGTCTGGCCTGTGAGGGCTAGAATGTTTCACTCCCTCCACTGCAGGCCGGTGTGTTTGTGGGTAATGGTATAGGCTCTGGCCCCAGTGGGTCTGGAGGCCCGTGTCTCCCCCACTCCCCCTCCACTGGTGGGCTGCTCAGCCCCTGTTACCAAATGCCCACCCTCTGCCCTGAGGTCGGCAGGCCCCATTCCTGCTTGCTTTTTCTCATGGGCCAGCTATGTGCTCTTGAGGGGAGAGACCTGGGAAAGCAGAGACATGACACACCGGCTCCCTTCCCGTTTGGGCATCCCTGGCCCACATTCCTAATATCTCCTGGTGCTCCTTGCCGATGAGCTTTGGGATCCTGTGAGCTACTCCGGGCAGCCCGCCCACTGACGGGAGCTGGCCTGTGGGGTCCAGCTTGTTCTGCAGCCCTGATGGTCGGATCCATACCCTGCTCCAGAGCTCTGTAGGGGGAAGACGTGGGGCAGGGCCTGTGCTGAGCATGAAAAAAACGGGAGGTGGAGATCAGTGCCTATCCTTTCCTCGAGGACAGTGAGCACTGGCTGCCTTTCTGGCGGGCCCATGGCACGAAGAATCACGGTCTGTTACCTTAAATCACCCTTGGAGCCCTGGGAAGCCTGGGAAGCCCTGCAGGCCCCTCCCCTCACCACCTCCACTGCCACCCAAGAACCCTTCTGCCAGCCCCGAGGCTGGTCATGGCAACCCGAAGAGCAGCCCTGCACAGCTGTGGGCCCGCGCCTTAGACCTGCTAGCTCAGAGTGCGGAAGGTAGAAGACCTCTGTGCTGCCCTCCTCAGTGGCAGGCAGGACGCCCTGCGGAATCGGTGGGTGCGGTGGGCTCCCCAGGAAAGGGGTTACGGTTCGGCCTTCCAGTCCTCACAGTTCCTGGGTTTCACTGCACCGCGGCCTCCCAGTTGTCATGGCTTCTGCTGCTTCGCCCTTGACAATGAATCCCTCCTTCTTGGGTGGGTGGGTGGGGGAGGTAGAGAACCAGCTATAGTTATATGAACCTTTCAGCCGAATCCCCAGGCCTGAATAGGGTGGCTAGCCCAGAGCAATTAGGTGAGCTGGAAGAGGACAGACGGGGTGGCCTCTCCTCTGTCGCAGAGAGGCCACCGCAGGGACATACAGCTGGGGAAAGGGAGGAAGAGGCGCTGTGCAGGGTGCTGTGTCCTAGAGTAGCCAGGAACCCAGCAAAGGAGAGTGAGCAGCTTCTCCCCGGTACGGAGCCCGTGCGTGGCTCAGGTGTGTTGGGCCGGGTGGGAGGACGGCGCCACCACACCCGCGAAGTCTGTTTAGCCGGGTTAGAGGCGGACTCTGCAGGGAGAACCTCTGCTTCCCACCAAGCCTGTGTCGGTCTAGCGTGGAAGCTAAATACCATTAAGCCTGGTCTCTTCTGTTTTTTTTTTTTTTTTAATTTCCCCAATATTTCAATTTGATTTTATTTTTTTTTATTTTTATTTATTTATGATAGTCACAGAGAGAGAGAGAGGGGGGCAGAGACACAGGCAGAGGGAGGAGCAGGCTCCACGCACCGGGAGCCCGACGCGGGACTCGATCCCGGGTCTCCAGGATCGCGCCCTGGGCCAAAGGCAGGCGCCAAACCGCTGCGCCACCCAGGGATCCCGCCTGGTCTCTTCTGTACATTTAAGATGGCTTTTTTTTTTTTAACCCTAAATAGAAAGCTATATTTATTCTCCTTTAAATTTTAAGTTGGTACATAGGGCCTGTTATTTCCACTTGTCAAGATGATTTCAAAATCTGGCCTAATTGTTGAGCACATTAGCTTCCCCTTCTAGTACACCCCACTTCGGGGTTCCCCGGCCTTCTGTGTGCTCATCCACGTGCTCACACCCGTGCTCAGCCACGGCTCAGATTGTGGAACCGGGACGCGGTTCTGTGGCTCACCGCAGCAGCCTTGCCTGTCAACCAGGCTGACAGGCTCCGTCATGCAGCGTGTCTGGTAGGGCCCGTCAGCCGACCACACGCTGCTCAAACACACTATCTAGCAGCCCACATTTCTGCACCCTCACGCAGACTTGTGGGACACCGTGTGAAATGGGGAGATAGTGAGCTGGAGACATTCCTGAGAGCTAGCCTCTAGCCCCGGCATCAGAGAAGGAAACGCGGTTGGCTAAGTTGGTGGAGGTGACCGATTAGAATTTTACTGGTCTCAGTACCAAAAAAAATCCTTCGTTTCAGGAAGTGTCCCAGGCCTGGACAAACTGGGATGACTGGCCACCCTAGTCTAGCAGCCTCTTTCTGTGTCTTCCTTCCTTCCTATCTCTCCCAACCAACAAATAGTCACCGAACACAAGTATGTGGTTGGCACAGTGGTAGGAAATGGGGATGCAGGTACAGATCTCTGGGCCCAAGGACCTTGCATTTTTGTGAGTGGGGCAAGTTGATGAACAGGACACATAAGTACGAATCAATAGTATGTAGGATGGTGATAAGAACTACGGAGAACAGCATAACTCAGGGAAGAGGATGGGAGGCTGGAGCCCTATATGAGGTGCGTGGGGAAGGCCTCACTGAGAAGCTGACTTTGGAGGCAAGACTTGGGGAGGGAGCCAAGCCATTGTCTGGGGGAAGAGTAATCCAGGCAGAGAGACCACCAAGGGTGAAAGCTAAGAGCAAGGAGGTCAGCTTGGCCACAGCAAGAGAAGAAAAGAAAGGGGGGCAACTGTGAGCTCAGACAAGTAGCTGGGGGGTCAGGTCAGACCTCGTCAGGCTGATGGAGGGGCGTGCACTTTCCCTCTCCTTGGAAGCGGCACCACAGCAGGGTCCTGGGCAGGTGTGGCGTGACTGGACTTGAGGGAATCCCTCTGGCTGTGGTGTCCCAGGTGGGCCTCTCTAATAATCCTCTCTGTTTAGTCAGCCCTTCTAGAGCTTTACTGGGCACGGGCACTAAGCATCTCTGTACTTCTAAATCTATCCTCTTGCCCATTTTTGAAAATCAAAGCCACATGGACTCTTTTGCAGACTCATAACTGCTCTGCCTGTCACAGTGATTCTTCAAAGCAGCTCCATCACGTTGGCAGGTTTTGTCTGTGCCCTGCCCAGCAAGGGCGAGTGGAACACATTCAAGGGCATGAGGAATGACCTTGACTGGCCATCAGTGCCACCTTGTGCTTGTCACCAGGCAGGTGCCTCTGCGGGAGAGGCTGCAGGGACAGTAGCAGTCCCTACCCTACCTTCCTCTGTCAGTGCCAACCACGCGCTGGCTGTTCCAGGCCTGACATCTACCTTCCTTCTTGATGATTTTAGCAAGAGAACCCTTGTGTGTTCTGCAGAGTTTTCCCAAGTGTCAGATCAACCCGTCTTTGACCCTCCCCATACAACTCTTACCCTTCTGTGTGATCCTTTTGCAGTTGCCCGCTGATCAAGAGCATCTCCTGTATTTTTTATAGGATGGTAGTAATGGTGGCTACTGAGCATTTCCTACGTGCCAGCCCCTCTGATAGGCACTCACGTGCCCCATTTCATCTCATTTCCAGCCAACTTATAGAGGGGATACTACTGCCCCCATTTTACAAATTTGGATATCAGAGCCCAGGAAGGTTAAATGACTTATCCAAGGTCATACAACTAGTAGGGGACAGAGCCAGGATTCAAACACCATCTGACGCCAAGGGCCCAGGTTTAACAACGCTGCTCGACTATATTCAAATTCAAATTCATACACTTTAAAAGTATGTCAGTAGTTTTTCAAGAACGCGAGAACTTCTAAAATCTGCACGCACTGAAGAGATCCCCTGTGCAGCCACCTTTATTTTTAGATGCTGCCCTCTTTTCTTTTCTTTCTTTCTTTCTTTTTTTTTT